ACTCTTAAGTCTGGACCAGACCAATTAGTTAACACATAAACACTTGATGTTAACCCGTCCGTCCGTCGATCCGTCCGTCCGTCCACAATTGCTCGTAAACACTCTACAGGGCACAATTCTTGACGGATTTTAACGAAACTTAGTATGTGTGTTCGCAATCACCCAAGGATAAACCCTATTGAAAATCAGCGTAATCGAAAAATATTTAGCATGAATTATTGCCCTTGTTAATTTTTAGCTCGTAAACACTCTAGAAGGCACAATTCTTGACAGATTTTGACGAAACTTGGTATGAGTGTTCGTTATCACCCAAGGATAGACCCTATTGAAAATCAGCGAAATCGAAAAATATTAAGTATGAATTATTGCCCTTGTTCTTGAAAACGCGTTCAATTTTTAGCTCGTAAACACTCTAGAAGGCATAATTCTTGAAGGATTTTAACAAAACTTGGTATGAGTGTTCGTAATCACCCAAGGATAAACCCTATTGAAAATCAGCGAAATCGAAAAATATTTAGTATGAATTATTGCCCTTGTTCTTGCAAACGCGTTCAATTTTTAGCTCGTAAACACTCTAGAAGGCACAATTCTTGACAGATTTTGACGAAACTTGGTATGAGTGTCCGTTATCACCCAAGGATAGACCCTATTGAAAATCAGCGAAATCGAAAAATATAAAGTATGAATTATTGCCCTTGTTCTTGAAAACGCGTTCAATTTTTAGCTCGTAAACACTCTAGAAGGCATAATTCTTGAAGGATTTTAACGAAACTTGGTATGAGTGTTCGTAATCACCCAAGGATAAACCCTATTGAAAATCAGCGAAATCAAAAAATATTCAGTATGAATTATTGCCCTTGTCATTGAAAACGTGTTCAATTTTTAGCTCGTAAACACTCTAGAAGGCACAATTCTTGAAGGATTTTAACGGAACTTGTTATGAGTGTTCGTTATCACCCAAGGATAGACCCTATTGAAAATCAGCGAAATCAAAAAATATTAAGTATGAATTATTGCCCTTGTTCTTGAAAACGCGTTCAATTTTTAGCTCGTAAACACTCTAGAAGGCATAATTCTTGAAGGATTTTAACAAAACTTGGTATGAGAGTTCGTAATCACCCAAGGATAAACCCTATTGAAAATCAGCGAAATCAAAAAATATTCAGTATGAATTATTGCCCTTGTCATTGAAAACATGTTCAATTTTTAGCCCGTAAACACTCTAGAAGGCACAATTCTGAAGGATTTTAACGGAACTTGTTATGAGTGTTCGT